AAAGATACATCTCTCCTAAATTTCATCTTGATATCCCCGACGATTTATTCGTATTTTCAAACACTGTGAGTATTTATTGAGCGTGGAGGGTGACGTATTCATTCTTAGGAAGCGTACCGCCTCTCCTTTTCCGAATCCTCTCTTTCCGCCTGATGAAAGACACGCACGACTTTATTATCCATCAGTTTCTCATTTAAATGTCATCGTTTATTTTTTCAAAGGCATGTCACGAGACACAACGAAGGATGATAACAGAATAACCGCGTGGAGCTGTCTCGAGAAAAAGTTTAAAGATTCATAGTATGGTATTGTTTACGATGAAAGTAGAAGTAGAATGTGGAGCCGGCATTATCAACTTAATAACTTGTAAGTGATCGTGGGCAAAAGAAGAAAAAAATTAAAAATTGAAAAATTGAAAAATATTTGAATGACAATCCATGGGCATGTTGGCAAGGATGCACTTCTCGAACACATGATCCACGGCTCGATTAAACTTTGCCAGAAAGCCGGTTAGTATTAAGAATATTCAAACGCTTCCTTCCGAGACGCCGAAAGGTCTGAGACTGCAGAGATAAAATCAGAAAACAAAGCTGCCTTTGTACTTGGAATATCTCCCTAGGCCAGCTTCTGCAGGATGAATCATCAGAATGGGGCCACACAATGATGAAAAGTGTTAATGTCAACTAACAACATTAAAGACTAATCAACTTAATATATCACCCATCTAATCAAGGCAATGGAATAGACAGCTGGATTGCTAAAGAGCAGTCGAGCAGTAGCTGTGTATAAAAAAAAAATTATATAAAAATTGGTGGGTTAATATTGCTTTGGAAATATACTACGTCTGATTGTAAAGCGAGAATAAGCTGGGAAAGAGAAATACACTTATCAGAACGAGCACGGCGCAACTGGATTTTCTTAATTCTTTCCTTTGATACTAAATATCATCTTAGTTTATGGTTCCCTTCAAATCTACAATTAGATTTGCTCACATTAATCTTCTTCTCCTTTTGTCCCTTTTGTTCTTTAAGACTTCTTCTGCGCGTTTGCCTTTGTCTCCCTGGAAGTTTCCTAATCTGAACTAGCAATTTTGTAGCAATGCATGGAGTAAACTAAATGGGTTTAGCTTATATAAGTTTATTGAAGCATTTATAGAGTGTTTTACAACAAGTTAACTATTTTTAGTAGGGTCAATATTGATGGTGGCTTGAGAGATAGCAACATCTATTTATTTGTCGTCCATAACGGTCGCTTTGAGTTCTTAACAGTAACTTTGTTTCGAGACGAACAAAGCAATATAATTTTTCTTTTCTACATTGCACTTACAAAAACTAGGAAATATTACTTACACTTAGAAAACACTCACAAATTCATTAAGCATGCCTGACTTAGGCAGTTATACAAATTATCTAAACAGCAATGCCCTTTTTTGTATCTTTTTGTCTCTATCAGTCTACACTTTTTGTCTCTATCAGTCTACAGTCGATAACAGAAAAAGCACTCTCCGGTGCAACAAGTGAATAAACGCTAAACTAAGAAGTGTGAAAGTGAAGTAAATAAGCAAGTTTTCTTCCAAGGAAACTTCACTTAACCTCCATATACAAACTATAAACATGATTATCATTACTAACAAAGCATTACAATTGTATGATGAACATTGCATCATAAAATCAGGAGGTACGAAAAGGTAAGCCTAAGGTTCTCGAAATCTACACCGCAAATTACCACTGAGCATTATACGACTACAACATTGGAGGTTCAGCAATTCTGGTATCATGGCTCAGTCCTGCACAAGAGGAGTTGCTTCAAATGACTCCTCGTCTTCGTTATTTCCGGTTTCGTTTGTATCCACGGCCGTTAGTCGATTACCATTACTCTCTTGCATATGAAGCTCTTCATCACAAAGGTCTTCAGTATCACCTTGGTCCTCCATATGTTTTCCAATATCGTCTTGTTCATCCTCTGTGTCTTTAAGTTGGCAAGTCTTAGGTTCTTCACCTCCTGCCTCCTTTACAGATTCTACTGCTGCAGCATCTTGATTATCAGCATTAGTTTCAAGTTTGCTTGTTCCACCTTCGACATCTGGAGGAGAAGCGGAATCAAAATGGCCTTCTTCTTCAATCAGGGGAGAGAATTCGAAAGAATCGACATCTTCTTCCCCGATTACGGGAGGAAATTGTGAGGCATCAGGTTTGTTCACCTCTATGGTAAGGGGGTGCGCTACAGAACTAGGATCTTTTTCAATCACAGGAGGGCATACGTATACTGTGGCTTCCAAACCCTCCTCCCCAATCATAGAGGAGCATGCTGAATTGCTGGAATATTCCTTGTCAATCAAAAGAGAGCATGTTGAACAATCAGGATCTTCCTCGTCAGTCAAAGGGGGGCATACCAGAGTACCAAGACCGTTATCGTCTATCACCAAGGAGGATGGCAAAAGATCGATATCTTCCTCAATCACAAGAGGGCACTCAGGGTCGTCAATATCTTCTTCCTCAAGTCCAAGAGGGCATTCAGAGTCACCAGACTCTTCCTCCTCGGTCTCGCTGAGGTATGGTAAAGTATCACTCTCGTGAAGGTGCGCTGAGGAATCAATATCTTTTTCATCACTCTTAAAAGAGTTTGCTGCTCCACCCTCTTCTCCTACTTTGATTCCGCGAGGGAAAGCTCTAGCACCATCTTTTATTGAAACCACAAACGGATGCGCAGTAGCGCCGTGCTCGCCCACTCTACGGTCGGGATTTGCAGCAGCTGCTCTTTCGTCTGCTACGTTAACTCTGAAGGGGAAAGCTGTTGCATCGCTGCCTATTGCAGCGACAAAAGGATGCGCAGTAGCACCGTCTTCACCCACTTCCCGGTTGCGATTTGCCGCAGCTGCTCCTTCGTCTCCTATGCTAACTGTGAGAGGGAAAGCTGTAGCGCCATCGTCTATTGCAACCACAAAAGGATGTGCAGTAGCTCCGTGTTCATCCACCTCACGGTTGAGATTTGCTGCAGCTGCTCCTTGCTCATCTCGTCCTGCATCTTCTCTGTTTGCAACAGCTCCACGGTCATCGATAAACTTGTACTTATCTTGATCATACTTGTCCATGTCCACGATATCCACATAAGTCTGTAATAAAGATTAGAAGGTAATCAGGAGCTTAGTATGTTGAATAATCAGTGATTTAATGAATGTCAACAATCGAACCAGGAACAATCCAAAAATGAATCATTTAATACATAATGAAGATTGCAAAGACAGGAACCGATTTGCGTGCATAAATTGAAAAAAAGACAAAAGCAGGTAAGGTCGACCTCTTTCGTCCAAATTTTCCAAACTATCACTTTAATAGGTCTTCCATACTCGCCATTAATTAACAATTAAGAAAGCCTTAACTATCCTTTTGGTCTTTTCTAAAGTAGTTAGAAAGCGGTCAGAGAAATCTGGGAGGAAACGCGAGACGTAGTCGAGTGTTGTTTCTCGCTACTTCTTTAACATTTGTTTAATAATGAAGATTGCGTCAAATTCCCAACGCACTACTTACAATGTTCCAAAGAATTCTAATTTTCGAGGCAAACAAAAGTGTCGTTGGCATGTTTTATACTCCCACAAAACATGCTCCAATGAGCCATTCGGAATCCGTGCTAGAATGATTCAAATAATCCGATTGTTTGAATAAGACTACAGCCGTCAACAATGTCAAACCATCAAAGTTCACGATCCGTAAGAGTTCACAAACTTAAATAGTTCGGCAACTTAAATCTAAAAACATTTTTGCCTGAGGTTTTCTTTTCTTGATACAGAATCTGAAAGTGAAATGTACGGTGAAATCAGCACAAATCGTGTCTCAGAAAAACATGCAAGTTTTTTCAAATGGTAACAGGCAAGCAAACTTCCCGAGGCGTATGTTTTATGAATAAACGACTGCCAAATTCGTAGGAACTTGAAGATCGCTCGGGATGACAGCGCCGTAATATACAGCTGTTGTGACTGATGATACAGAAACTGAAAGTGAAATGTACGGTGAAATCAGCCCAAATCGTGTCTCAGAAAACCACTCAACCTATCGGAAATGTTGATTGGCTATCTCATCTGGTTGTCAGAATTAGCATAAATTATCATATGTAACGAGAGACCACAAGGTGAAATAAACATGGCAGTTGTGTTCTAGAATCCTAGTGCTCTTTGCTCGCCGCTTACTACTCTTTCTCTTAATGAACTCTACAAATGAACAGGAAAGGACATTAGGGTAAGCACTTAGTTGTTCTTTCTGAGATTTCTGAGGCATGCCTTACTGCGATGACCGGAGATCAGCAGTTGTTTCATACTATCAGGATCTGTATGAATTTTAACAGTTATGCTAGTTTGGTTATATTTTGAAGTTTTATTATTCCCTTTTTTTGGTTCTGTTATGTTTTCGGATACGAAAATATACTTACTATGCGAGTGTTGCCTGTGTCTCAGTTTTATTACCATATAAAAGCTGACAATCTGACTAAACACGAAAAACTCAGGTAGTCCTTTTCGTTTTCTCTTTGGAGATTTTTGTCTCTGCTCAAGTAATGATAACGTTAATTACGGCGCTTGGCTTGTTTACAAACCTTTGTTTGGCTCTTCTGTAACTAATTGCCGGGTCGTTTGTTCCGAACTTTCGCTGTCAGTTAGCGAAAAAATAAAGAAGAGAGAAGTCTGGCAAATGGTCGAAGTACAAATTGGCTGATGGCGGGCAGCTTTAGCTCAGCTCCGTGTAATAGAACACGCTCTTTCAGCCATTAACAGCGCGCATTATATTCGAACTTCTTTATAATATAATGGATGTTAACGAAATGACCTGTGATCCTAATATACAGACCTGTACCTCATGAAAACGAACAAACGCTTCCCGAAAGAGAAAAAGAAAAAAAAATAGTCAAGCATGCAAACACAAGACAACGAAGAGCAACAAAGAGCAAAATATACGACCCAAAAAACCCAGAACCGACGACGTATTTTCGGAATAAGATCCTGTATGGCAAACCTTTGTTTTAAGATAGGTATCCATTGTTTTGTAGAGGTTCACAAAATGTGGCCGGGCAGCGATTTCATATTTCCAGCAGCTTAACATAACCGCGTATCTATAGAAAAACAATGAAATTTTCCTAATATAAGGGTTGCAGAACCGCAGCTAGCTATAATTACACCTAAAATGCTAAGTTTACAAAAAAGAAAATCAGTTGGTTTGGATTGTTACATTACAGTTCAAATAGAGCTTGGAATAAAAAAACCCATCTCATTCTGAGTTTGACTCAGCAACGTTGAACTACTGAACTGGGTGATGTGAATCTCATGTTTAAAAAGTCTATTTTCTGTTTGTTTTTTGTGTTGCTTTTTGCTTTGTTTTTGTTTTGTTTTGTTTTACTTTGTTCCATTTTGTTTTGTTTTGGTTTTATTTTGTTTCGATTTTGCTTTGCTTTTGTTTAGTCTCGTTTAGTTTAGTTTAGTTTTGTCTCGTTGTTTTGTTTTTTGGATTGCGCAAATTTGTTAGGAAGGCTATTTATTCCGTCTGAACAGATTTAAAGGTTCACGAAGTAATTACACCATCATCACCAACACTATCGCTTTTTTCATCATCTGATAAAATTAATGCAAGCTACAATAAACCCGACCACGATAGCTATTGTATCGCACTTTATTTATGTAACCCTACACTTTTTTTGTGCAATCCATGTTCAGTATTACACAGAAGAAGCCGAACTTACAAACTGTTGTCGATATGTTCAGGCCTTGGCAAACGATAACCTTGATAGATTTTTCTTATGGTCGTGGTTTCAGACCATCCTTCGTATGGAATACCTCCTGTGGACAAGTAAATGAGCATAACTCTTTTGTTGTAATCACTTCCATCTTAATGGGAACGATCGGAATGATTTCAATGTTAAAACGATAGTTATCGAGGAATATTCCTGTTTACATCAAATAAAAGATAGAAGAAGAAGCGTTTTCAAATAGTGTGAGTTTATTCATTAGCGACATTGAGTATTGCCATTACTTCTCTATCATGCAATGCTTCTGTAGCTGCTCATGGTATAACCTTTCAAATGGCAATTGTGCAAGCAATTTCGGCGAGTATATTTTATGAAAGGAAACTAACAAATAAGTGAACTGAGTACCGATTGTGAAGATTTCAAACAGGACTATGCCATAAGACCACCTGTGAAAGAAATAGAAGGATGACGACTCATGTCAACCAGGGTAGAAAAGTTATCTTTAATTCAGAAAATTCAATGTTTTAGAATATATTTATCAAGATATAAACAATGCCTTAAACATAAAAAACTCAAAAGTTATTTATTTCATCATTCATTTATCTTTTCATTTCTTTTTTTTCCTGATGAGGTTTTAAGTATTGCCTGTTAAACTCAATACTCATCCAAATCTTATGCTGTAGTTCTACTCTCAGATTTCCAGGCTCGACGTATCCTAATGAACCTAGCTCTGATCAATAAAGCACTGATTATTTAACTCGTTAAGTAAGCATCGTAAACAAGTTGCCACTTCAAATGTATATAATGACGGTTGCAGTACGTACACATCACTTTTGGTTGACAGCCGTTCCACATGGCCAATGAGAATCTCGGGTGCACTCCATTTGACTGGGATACATCCCTGGGTGAATATTTAGAATACTAAGAGCATATGTAATTTAAAGACTCTGGAATACAATTTCTGAGATATTTTTCATAAAGACTTATACCATTTTTTTCACCAAAGATGCGAGGAGTCGCGATAAATACAAGAGCATCACATGCGTTTCTACAAATCTCGTTAGTTACAAATCACGTGCTCGTTTTTCTTTACATCTCCTGTGTTAATCTGCCCTTCGACATGTTCGAGTTGGTATGCTTGCACTTGAAAGAACACTTATCACCTCCGATGTTCTTATTCCCTACGTTCACTCCACATGTTTGGTACAGCGTATAACTTGTTTTTTTCTTTGTATGAAAGTTTCGACACGCTTAGAATGGCATTCCGATATAATATAAAAGGAAGTAAGGTTCGTCAGGATAGTTCAAGGTTTGGTTTGAGTCTCAAAATAGAGGCCTAGTTGACGTCATTAACTGACATTCGCTCATTTTTCGTTTTAGTTTTCTTGCATTAAAATCTTTCAAACCCACAATCCCAAAACACATTTCTCGTCGATACCATAGGAGTACATGTAAAGGAGGCTAACCTCACATTATGGTATATGATGTATTTGGTAACAGTCAAATAACAACTCGCTGAACAAGTGATTAAAAAATTCCGAAAATTACCCTCTTGGCATTTCCTGTACCGTATTTGAAATCCTGGTAAGAGAGCCCAAAATCAGTCAACTTGCATACACGATGCTCGTCGAGGAGGATGTTGCGAGCTGCAAGATCGCGATGAATTATCTGAAATTGAAAAAACAAAAGGATGCAATGGGCTAATAACGAAATGAATAAAGCCCACATCGAAACCAGTCGCTAGACATTTTAATTTACCTAATCATTCTAAGCAACATATGGCAATCTGCGGTCTTTCCTTACACTTAGGTAGCACGGAAAGCCGTAGAAATCTTGAACAAAAGCTCATCTTTCAAACCGGCAGTCTAAATCCACAGGGATCAACGAACGCTTTTCATTCCACTAATTTATTCTTGTTTTTCTCGTCGCCATGTTCCCACCAATAACGTCGCTCTATTTTCTGCCTTTGAAAGCACACACAACCCACAATTCCTCTATTCGCTCCGACGAAGGGCTAACGCTCGAAACGTCAGCTTTTGTAATCGTTGCGGTGGCCAATTTACCATTTCTACTTTGTTGATATATCCAAATTATTAAATAAAGAACACGTAATCATATCAAAGAAGAAAAAAGAAAACAAAAGTTTGTTTTAAACTATTTTCGTGTGACTTAGTGTACCAGTGAGCTTTAACTTTTTAGTCGTATGGTGATCGATTCGCGAAATGCAAACCAAGAAGAGTTTAAGCACTTACCCCTCTAGACGCGAGAAAAGTCATACCATTTGCGATTTGTTTGGCAAAGAGCACCATGTCATATGTTGTCAAGTGGTCGACCCTTCCGACCCCACGATGATAGTGGTCGAAAACCCCCCTTGATTTTCTGAGATAACCCAACAAGTCACCTCGCCACAGGTACTCCATGATAAGTATTGGCTGAGCTAAATAGGTTTAAACACGAGTTGGCAATTTGTTAAGATAAGGGAAGGAGAATAGACATTCCAAATCATCCAAAATGTTGTAAATTGTACACGCTTTGTTATTCATATGGTAGGTATATCTGTTATGAACCAAAGTAGAGACAAACAGGGTAAATAGAAAAAAGGAGACACACGGACAGACATACGAAGACAGGCAGACACATACGGCAGATAGAGAGCTAAAGACGGTCAGAGGAAACAAAAGACAGACAAAAAGAGATGGCAGATAAACAAAGAGAGACTTGCTTTCTTAAAGCAAAATTTCTATTCCAATTAGCATGCAAAAATTACCAAGCTAAATATCTTAAAAAATACGCAAAATCTGAGCTGAATCCCTCTAAGACACACAAGTATATAAAAATATAGAAATACATATATACTCCTTGAATTAGTACGCCATCTTAGCAATAGAAGTGATTCTACCAGTCCTTCACCTCAGCTGATTACAATCATAACAATAGCTGATTACCTCCAACTGTAACACAACCAATGAACTTAACAACATTCTCATGGCCCATCCTTCCAAAGAGTTTCAATAACTCGATCTCTCTCAGCAGGGCCTTCCTTCCTTCCTCTCCAGAGATTGCTGGGAAACAAGAAAAACAAACAATGCAATAATATATTTATGGAGGAAATTTATTTTGTGGTTAACATGCTCCTCTAAAACTGTTGTATATTTGGTGTTAAATAATCTGCTTAAAGCCTGGTTCACATATGATCGCAGACGATCGCAGGCGATCGCCCTCGATCGCCACCGATCGTCTGCGATTATATATGACACAACCTCTCATGACTGTGAAGTCTCAATAATATTTGCGTGCTCCTCTATCTTCGCAGTGTTACACGACAAATGACTCGGTAACTGTTCTTTCAAAGAAAAAAAGGAAGTGCTTCAATCGGGACCATTCACTAACTATTCAATATTTCCAGCTAAAACATAACTTTAACAGCGCATATACAGTTGTTTTAGTCATGGACGTTATCTGTTACATTGGTGATGAGACTGCTATGAAAAATGCTCCCTATTAGTGTGAAACACCTAGAAAAAATTAAGAAAGATCCAAAAATAGTACATACGTAGGTAGCACTTAGCAGCAACTGTACAATTTCCACGTCTGCCTTGGGACCGACCCAGTAGCGCTCGCCACACTGAGCCAAATGCTCCTCTGCCTATAGGCTCACGAAAGTTCAGGCGGTCAACTGCAATCTCCCATCCATTAGCGTTTGCGATCAGCTGACCCATCTCAACTTCATCTTGCTCTGTACTGAATAATTGCAGATGAAAACAAGACTTTAACTGTCTTTGTTACCAATCTATTTTTTTTTATCTGAATGTGGCTTATCTTTATTCCGTTCTAATATTTTTAACAAGAGTCGCGTTGTCTTCTTTAGTGATTTCATAGAATTCATTTACAATTTGTATGTAAACGAATTTATGACTTTTAATAATAAAAGCCATTTACAAAACCCATTTTATTCCTTAACCTGCTTACATGATCCTCTATATCTTCATATAAAGAAAACATATCATCTAGAAAGGAATCTATCCGAGACTTTTGTGACACTCTCTTAAATATTTTAAATGTGACGGAAGAAAACTTTAGCGCGTCAAAAAATTCAGGTGACCTACCAAGGAAGAAGCACATTGAAAGAGATGAAAATTGGGATTGGATGCTGAAACAGTTTTGTTAACATAACATTCCAAAAACGGAGATCTTAGAATTGAGCTAAGGATTGAATGAATCTCGTATGAGGAAAACTTCGCATAAACTTAGTTTTTCTGTATTTCTCTAATAGGAGAAATGAAACACCAATCATCCGTATTGAGTGTATTGTTTACAAACAAGGATCGGCCCAGAATCGCATTATCCAGTTGCATATTCAATACTCTGAGTGTCGCTTATTTCAATCATAGTTAAAAGAGACTCAAAAGATCTCTTTCTCTTCATTACTGTGAGGCGCAGAAGTCGGCAGAATGGTCAGAACAAAAATAAACAAAAAGCTAAAATAAACAAAAAACAAAAGACTAAACAAGTTGGCAGAACATATCAAAGACAGACAACCATTTAATGACAGCTGCCTTTTATTTGAACTTTTACTGCTTAGGGAGAAAAACAAAACTCTTTTGGTTCTTGCACTGGAGATGGTGAATATAATTGGTCCAAGCTAAAGGTTGAAAACTTCGGACCTAACCACATGCTCAAAAAGTGAGCAAAGAAATTAAAAAAAAATACTTACTTCTGCTTAGCTGGCACTTGATGTAAGGCTATTGTCCAAGGTTATGTAAGAAAAAGGGTAAAAATTGCTTCGTTGGGAGTATAAATCACATAGTTAACCTAGTTAAACCTTGCGACCCCTTGTCAAACAAAAAGAGGTGGATTTTCACAGCAATAGATTTGATATAATAATTTATAGCCTTCTTGTAATTTGATTACTTAATGGCTTGCGAGAAGTGAGAATTAACCCTCAACGTCAGAGATGGACGTGCAGAATGTGACCTTCTTAAAATAATTCCTTGGTAATTTCAAAACCTGACTTATAAAAGCCACAATTTTTCATATAAAAACGTTTTGTTTTCATCGAGTAAGGTTTTGCATCTTAACTAAGTTCCCTTTACCTGTCGCACGGCGTTTTTTAATGTATGCAATAAGAGACAGCAGTAAAATGACAGCAGCCACAGGTCCACCGATGTAGTACCACTCAAGAGGACCTGGTGCATTTCATGAAATAAAGTAACGAGAGAAGGTCGTAGGAGACTAATTTAGTTAATAAAAAGGAGAAAACAATGTCACCAGTTCTCATGGTAGAAACGTTAGCCTTTCTCTTTGTTTTGTATCAACAATTGACTATATGATATTAATCATTATTTACTGCTTGTGTCGGGGGGATGGGGGGGAGGTTCAGGAATGACCAATGGAAAATTGAATCAGGCTTATTGGATTTCAAACAAAGTAGCAGACAGACAGGTAAAGAGAGATGATAAAAGGAGGAAAAGAACGAGCAGGCATAATATATTGTTTATTCGGAGGATGTACGGAGGAAAGAAGGAACTGGAGGTTGGAGGATAAGATGGGTGGATAGTAACTTGCACCCAGCAGATTGAGAACAAAAACTAATGGGCTGCAAAAGAGGCATCGCGATTAAAAAGCTTACAAGCTAGTTTTTACCTGCCATTATTTTTACCATCACATTAGTGGATCTACTCCCAGCTTTGCTGAACGCTTCACAGGAATATTCACCGCTGTCATCAGTTTCAACATCTGATATGGTAATAATTTTCTTTCCATCTTTAGTATCGACTTTTGCTCTTTGAATTTTTTTCACTCCGTTTTTTTTCCAGATTGTATCTTCTGAGTTTTGGAATAGGCAAGTCAATTGAAGTGTTTCGCCTTCCGTTATGGGAGCTGGCTGTTTTGGAATTATTTTTGGAAGTTCTGAAAAGAAAACAGGAGACACTCATAATTGTGGCATGTTCTTAAGAGCGTTTCAATGGGTGATGGCTCTCGCAGCTAACGGTTAAGATCCTGCCTATTCTACGGGTTATGGTTAATTTCTTTCCACTGTGATTAAAATAGAAGTTTTTACGGCTAGGCAGTTTTAAGCCTACCGGTTGAAGTTCTTTTTCCTTTTACGTTGAAAAGAAATAAGACCAGCGAAGAAAGCCGGCTCAAACGTTTTACATTTTAATTTCTCGTTAGTACCCTCCATTCCAAAAGAAAAAAGAAGTCAGTTATGCTGCACAACCTTTCTTTCATTTCCAGCAAAAAAGTAGCTAGATTGAGGAAGTTTCGTGGCCCCTTAATGAAACCTGTGATATTCTTAATCTCAATTGAATGAGTCTCATCACGAATTAAAAAGATTCACAAGTCAACTGTTGGGATAGATGCAAGAGAAGTAAATATCTTAAGGAACTATTTCGAACATTTAATCGCAATTTTACCGCAAATTTCGCTCAGTAATGGTAGGAGTTCTTCGTGTTTCCATTACCTTGTTCATTGTCAAGATTGTTAATTTTTGTATCACATGCAAAAATGGCTTTTGATTTGCGCTTTCGTTTTCAATTCCCACTGCTCTATTCTGAACTTTCTGGATCCCTCCATCAGAGAAATATCTTTTTAAAATGTTCCAGCTGAGGTGTTTGTAGTGTATTGATTATACATGTACCTATATTAATTATCGACAACAACCTAGAATGGGTTGTAAGGTGAGTACGTTGTACTTTAATTCAGTAAATGTACTACTCGCAGTAATCCTACTATACTGGAAATACCTCCATGCTGTAAAATTACTATAAGTCAGTAAACTCCTCTACTTCTATATGTGTAATGTGTTTGTTAATAAAGTTCAGTTAGCCTTTGGCAATGAAAGAGAAACATTCTCTTTGTGTATGAATGACCACACTACAGTGTTAATTTATTTATTTGCGAACTTTGCCAAACAACAACAATCTAATCATTACATAGGAAAAAAAAAGAAAAAAACCACAATAATGATCGAAAAAAAATGGCAGGGGCACCGCAACAGCGTAACCAATTACAGCGGGCCCATGTGCAAAGCATACTATAGGGCATTACGAATCAATCAAGAGACGACGGCGCCATTATTACTTGTAGTTTTTCTTTGCATTTTAATCTTTCAGATCTATTCGGTTGACTCGAATAGCGGGCTCTTTTAAGGTCTAGCACCAAATCATTTGCAACAAATTGTATCTCTTTGTATGTAATAGCCCAGTGATAATATTAGGATTGATTTCGCCCATACAGACTCTTAGGCTTCCTGAGGCTTAAGGAAACTCTAACTCCGATAATAATAATAAAACTTCAATAAGAGTTATACCTATTCCAAGTTTTGTTCTCTTTGTCTGTGCACATCAGTTCATAATAGAAGTCATGTGCAGTCCGTGAGCAGTATACAACCTCGGCTTGAGCTACTATTTCCCTCCTTTCTCAGCATTACTTTCATCTCCGCATTTATCTCCACCATCTTCATCTCCACATTCATCTTCACGATAATCAACAAATTTTTTTTTATTAAACTTACCGTAAACATGCAGTTTTGCTGAGGAATTTGCTGTACTTATTATGTTTTTTGCTGTACATCTGTAATTCCCTTTCATCTCGTTTATGACACGTGGCAATTCCAGGGTTGATTCTCTTTCTTGATCAGTTTGAATGATACCAGATGGCAGGTCATCATCATTGAAAGTCCAGACAAATGTTGGTGCTGGATAACCTGAGGCTGCGCAACTAAAGTTTACAGGGTATCCTTCAAAAGCAGATTGGTCAATTGGAGGCGTAATGATCTGGGGAGAGACTTAAGGTAAAAAGATGACCATGTTAAACAAAGGGTCGCATTGTCCATTTTAACACTCCGCCCCAACCGACTGATTAGTTTTTTTCCGTTTTACGTCCAAAACATACAAGGCCAGCAAAAAAGACTAGCTTAAACGTTTCACTTTTTAATTTATCATTATTACTCTCCATTCAAAAGGACAAAAGAAGTCAGTTATACGGCACAAACTTTCTTTTATTTTCAGCACAAAAGTAGCTAGATTGAAGAGCTCTCGTGGCCATTTCATCAAACCTGTGATATTCTTAATCTCAATTAAATGAGTCTCATCGCGAGTTAAAAAGATACACAAATCAACTTTGTGGATAGATGCAATAGAATATCCAAAGGAAGTATTTCGAACATTTCATCGCAATTTTACCGCAAATTTCGCTCAGGAATGGAAGCACTTTATCGTGTTTCTATTATCTGCTTCCTTGTCAAGATTGTTCAATTCTGTATCACATACAAAGATAGCTTTTGAGTTTTGCTTTCTTTTTCCCACTGTTCTACTCTGAACTCACTGGATCTCTCTGTTACGGAGATATCTTACATTGTCTCTTGAACCTACTCAGACTAAAGAAATTTATAACTTCGATAGTAATGAAACTTAAGAATAAGTTATACCTATTCCATCTTTTGTTCTCTTTGTCTGTGCACATCAATTTATAATAGAAGTCATGTGCAGTCCGTGAGCAGTATATATGTACAACCCTTCAGCTATTTCCCTCCTTTCTCAGCATTACCTTCATCTCCACATTTATCTCCACCATCCTCATTTCCACATTCATCTCCATGATAATCAACAACATTTTTTTATTAAACTTACCGTAAACAGGTAGTGTTGCTGAGGAACTTCCTGTATTTATTAAATCTTTTGCTGTGCATTTGTAAGTCCCTTTCATCTCTTTTGTGACACGTGGCAATTCCAGGGTTGATCCTCCTTCTTGATCAATTAGTTTTTTTTTACGTTTTACGTCGAAAACAAACAAGGCCAGCGAAAAAGGCTAGCTCAAACATTTCACTTTTTATTTTTTTATTATTACTCTCAATTCAAAAGGACAAAAGAAGTCAGTTAAGCTGCACAACCTTTCTTTCATTTCCAGCACAAAAGTAGCTAGATTTAACAGCTCTCGTGGCCCTTGAACTGAACCTGTGATATTCTTAGCCTCAAATGAATGAGTCTCATCACAAGATAAAAGATTCATAGATCAACTATGTGGATAGATGCAAAGGAAGTAAATATCCAAAGGAAATATTTCGAACATTTAATCGCAATTTTACCGCAAATTTCGCTCAGTAATGGAAACAGTTCTTCGTGTTTCATTACCTTGTTCATTGGGGTTCATTGAGAAGACTGTTAATTTTTGTATCACATGCAAAAACAGGTTTTCAATTCCCACAGCTTACCTTTGACAGTTATTTCTACGAAGTGGCCGTCCACAAACCCAAGCTTGTTACGTCCTTCACAATAATATTTTCCATTGTCTTTTTCCGAAACCCTAGTAATGGTAAGTTTACTATTTTTCTTATCCAACTGTGTATAAATCTTCGCTCTTTCTAATGTTGCGTCTCCATCTTTCTTCCAAGTCACATTTATCGTGTCTTCGTTGACCTTGCAGGTCAACGTGAGGACATCTCCTGTTGCGAGTGTTGGAAATGAATCTGGAACAACTTGAGCAGAGGCTTTTCCTACGTTGTGAATAAGGAGTAATTGATTTAAAAAGATCCCAACCACATTTACAACTTTCCAAAGTAAAATAAATTGAATTAATAAAAAAGGAGAAAAGGTAAATTTGACCTCATAAAAGGAACGTTTGGAACATGCTGTTTTTGATGAAAAGGTTGAAAAAGGCCTCAGGAGAAAACTTGAGGTCCATGTTTATAAATAACTGATTACTGTCGAAAGCGTCCAAAATTACAATTAAGAATATTGAAAATTTCCTATGGTTCCAATACTTTGAAATTTTAAATTGACCTCTCGGTAGTCGTATCAAAAGGACTTCACAGATCAGTTATCTTGCCCGACCTATTCATCTCCAGGCTCAAAGTTGAGATTCTCAATTGCGCCTCGCACAAAAAAATTGATGGACTTTCATATTTCTTTTTCAGCTGCCTATCATCAAGTATTTAAAAACTACGCGCGGAAGGCTTCGTCTCGGGGATTATTCAATAACACATCGCGCAGAATCCTCAATTATCTCGAAATATTTACGTGCAGTAGCCAAAAAATCTGTAATATCAGCGGCCAAGCGTGCACTAGTTGGTTTTCATTGGTCGTAATTTTGTGCTCCTTCATTCACAGGGAATATATTACTCGCCTATTCACTTTCATGGTGGATATCTACCTGCGCAATTCAGTATGCTTATGCACACCAAAAGTCCGTTGCCCCTGAATATCTGCCAGAGGCAATTGCCTACCAAAGTCTTGTTGAAAATTATAAAATCAGCAAATAGGTCACGTCATTCCAAACCTATTACAAATTTACAGACGCAATGCTTCCTACTAAGGATCTCATTATCAAAAGAATTTACCCGCTCGATTTCTCAAAAACTGCCCACGTCTTTAAAATCATCGGAGCAGTTACACTAATTCGTATCAGTCAACTCATGATGGCACCGTCACTTTTATTTTTTTCTTTGTCTGTTCTCGACTCCCAAATCACTACGGTCTTGTCTTCATACCCGTCCCTTTCTCCATTGTCATCTTCTTTCTTTTGGCCATCATTATCGTCAAAGTCACCGTCATCATTATCATTATAATTAAACTCACCATAAACACGCAGTGTTGCAGTGGAACTAGTAGTATCTGCTTTGTTTTTTGCTTCACACTTGTAAGTGCCATTCATGGCTTTTGTGACAATTGGTATTACCAACAATGATTCTCCATCGTGCTCAGTCTGACTGATGTCACAATGGCGGTAACCATCCTTATTAAAAACCCAGACTAGGGTTGGTGTTGGCACCCCTGAGGCTCTGCAACTGAAGTTGACTGGAGACCCTTCGGTTACGGACTGGGTTATCGGAGGCTTAGTGATCCGGGGAGAAACTTGAAGGAAAAAGACCATCAAATTCAACAGAGGTTCACATTGACCATGTTAACCCTTTCCGCCTAACCCTAACTAAAATTGCAAAAACAAACAAACTAGCAAACAAACAAACAAACAAACAAATCACAGAGTAAGCCTGTCTTTTTTCTAAGTTTTACTTCCCGTAACATGAGTACACGTATGGAATTGCTAAAAGACACCACAAGAACTGTTTGTCATAATGTAATAGTGGGAAATGTTTTTACGAAATTATTTATAGTATTAGTCGTAATTTAGCTTCGGAGAGTACTTGTGGGTGTCCGTAGATCAGAACGAACTGTATATGATCAGTAACCCTTCAACAGAGAAACGAACTAATGCTGGCAAATTGAAATTT